TATTTAATGTTCTTTGGAAATTGAGATTTTTTTGATTTCTTTTCTTAGTGATGCCAAGTTTTCATTTGCCTAAACACAGTCTTTTTATGATTACGTGATTCATTTTATTTTATTTTATATACTATATTTGCTACTATATTTGAATGACATTATTGTTGGTCTTCTGTTGGGCTGAAAATGTGTAGTTTTTCATTTTGAATTTGTTATTATGGTTTTATATTGAATTTTTGAAATACCAGCAACATTTAATTCTGTGTTAATGTTTGTATACTTGTAGATTTTCAACTGTTCTGAAATACTTTTACTGTAAGCTGCTTTGAGTCTCCTTACTGGAGAGAAAAGTGGGGTATTATTATTATTGATGATGTTGATGATGATGATGATGTATTTCTGAGAAGGCATGCACGGTAATGCATTGATGCACCTTTCCCACTCTGAATGAATGAAAGTCTCAACCTTCTGCATCTTTATGTGGTTTTTCTGTCAATTGTGATAGCTTTACATACCACCTTTAGCGGTGATACAATGTGTTGTGGAATCAGGGATCATCGTGAGTGGGGCATTTGAGTTCAGCAAGACTTTTACTCGGCATTGGGGGGGGGGGGCAAAATATTGTTTGCTTACCGTTGAAAATTACCTAGGGCCACCTCTGCATAGCACTGACTTCAAGCGGTATCAAACTGCATAGTGTAGATACACACTAAGGAGGTTATCACACTTTGTTGTTATTCCACTTTAACTGCTGTGGAATCCTGGGATTAGTTTAGTCAGGCCCAAGATCTCTCTGTCTGAGAATTTCAAAGACCCCTCCCTAAATTGCAAACTCCAGGATTCCACCACACTTAAAGTGAAATAACAGTGTTGCAACAGCATAGTGTGATAATCTCCTTAGTTATTATGGCAACGAAAGGGGATTGATTACAAGTAGCTCATTTTTTTACTACCCGTTCCTTCTGAGCTGTGGCTGCTTTGCCACTTGGCTTCATGTTGCGGCAGGGCCTTTGCTGCAGCCAAGAATGGCACCTCTCTTGCTGTTACTTTCCTGTCCTCGCTTGCGCCCACGCCAAGGGCACCATTTGAATCTGAAAAACAGCGGCAGGCGTTATTCATGCGCGATGACTCGAGCTGGCCTTTGAAGCCGGGTGTGTGGCGGATGCTCAGCACAGCTAGCGGCGTGGCTTGCGATTGTTGGCACGCTGTAATTATCATAACTGCTCCCCACAGCGTCCCTTCTCCTCCACCGTACCTCAGATACGTATATAAAGATCTCACAACAGCACCTGCCTTGGCTTGGCATCGTTGCTTAATGCTGGCTTTGCATGCAAAGAATGCGCTTTCACAACGCTCACGGAGCCTGCGGGCTCATGAAACATCTGATCTTTCTTCCTCTTCGGCACGGAGCTCATGACTCCAGAATGCAATGTTCTCCACCTCTAAAAGGGTAGAGCAGCTTTTGCAAAAACACCCATTGCTCAGGACATCTGACATCTACCCAAATTCTATCTGTTTTCATAGGAGCCCCCAGTGGCGCAATGGGTTAAACCCGTGTGCCAGCAGGACTGAAGACCAACAGGTTGGAGGTTCAAATCTGGGGAGAGTGTAGATGAGCTCCCTCTGTCAGCTCCAGCTCCCCATGCGGGGATATGAGAGAAGCCTCTCACAGGGATGATAAAACATCAAAACATCCGGGCGTCCCCTGGGCAAAGTCTTTGTAGATGGCCAATTCTCTCACATCAGAAGCGACTTGCAGTTTCTCAAGTCACTCCTGACATAAGAAAAAAAAATTCATGTAACATTCATTATATGAGTGTCTTCCCTTAAGCCAGGAGCTATCAGAGTTCCCACAAGTCCCATCATCTCCAAATGTCCCCATTTGGCAGAGACCATTCCAATGAATCCGCATTAGACCACTTTTTTAAAGTCCTGCTTTCTCTGTCTTCCTCCCGCCTTGGCCTTTAGTTTGCTTCCATTGCTGCAAACTGAGTTCAAAGTTGAAGACTCCCATGATTCCATATCATTGAGCCATGGCACTAAAACTGTTGTCAAACTGCATTCATTCTACAGTGTAGAGCAGTGGTTCTCAACCTTGCTAATGCCGTGACCCCTTAATGCAGTTCCATATGTTGTGGTGACCCCCAACCATAATATTGTTTTTGTTGCTACTTGATACCTGTCATTTTACTACTTTATAAATCGTAATGTAAATATCCGATATGCAGGATGTATTTTCATTCACTGGACTAAATTGAGCAGAAAAACCAAATATGCCCAAATCTGAATGCTAGTGGGGTTGGTGGAGGATTGAGCTTGTAATTTGGGAGTTGTGGTTGCTGGGATTTATAGTTCACCTATAATCAAAGAGCATTCTGAACTCCACCAATGATGGAATTGAACCAAACTTGGCACACAGAACTCCCATGACGATTAGAAAACACTGGAAGGGTTTTGTGGGCATTGACCTTGAGATTGGGAGTTGTAGTTCACCTATATCCAGAGGAGTGCTGTGGATTCATGCAATGATGGATCTGGACCAAACTTGGCACAAATACTCACTATGCCCAAATGTGAACACTGGTGGAGTCTGGGGAAAATAGACCTTGTCATTTGGGAGTTGTAGTTGCTGGGATTTATAGTTCACTTATAATCAAAGAGCATTCTGAACTCCACCAATAGAATTGGGCCAAACTTCCCACACAGAAATCCCATGACCAACAGAAAATACTGTGTTTTCTGATGGTCTTTGGTGACCCCTCTGACATCCCCTCACGACCCCCTTCAGGGGTCGCGACCCCCAGGTTGAGAACCGCTGTTCTAGAGGCATTCTCTCCTGATGTTTCGCCTGCATCTATGGCAAGCATCCTCAGAGGTAGTGAGGACCTCACAACCTCTGAGGATGCTTGCCATAGATGCAGGCAAAACGTCAGGAGAGAATGCTTCTAGAACATGGCCATATAGCCCGAAGCATCCTCACAACCTCTGAGGATGCTTGCCATAGGTGCAGGCACAACGTCAGGAGAGAATGCTTCTAGAACATGGCCATATAGCCCAAAAAACCTACAACAACCCATATTTTTTGTGTATTCGATGGCAATGCAGTGTTGTTTTCCCTGTAGCTCCTCCTTCTTACCTTTCAGCCTTGTGTCCCAACAGGGAAGGTGGGTTTCAGTGAATCTTTCCTATACAACCCACATTTTGCAACACATTCTATATGTCTGTATTCTGCTGATAACGTTAATGTTATTTCCCACTCAACTCTTCCTTTGCGCGATTGAAAGAGGAAATCTGATGAGGAGGAACTCTCCACTTGTAAGTTGGGTTTGCCTGTGATCCTTTTCTTCTCACTACTTAAGCAAGAGATCACTTGGACTGAGTACTACTGATTTGTTTGTTTTTACTTTGTGTGTTGTATATGCTCTGTCTATACTACAGACTTGTTTAAGGCTCATTCCAGTTCAACCACCTGAGTTTTTCCCTGCCTCAAATTATAACAATTATAACACTATGTAACAACATTTGAAAAATGTTCTGTTCCTGGTTTGAACGTGTTATTTCCTGTTTACTTGTGAGGTACTTACTTTGAAAGCAGTTGTTCTACTGCAGAAACTTCATTTTTGTGGCTGCCACAAACTAGGTTGAATTGGTTGAGACTCTCTTATGAGATGTTCATTAGGCTTGTGCACGGATTCAGATCGGTCAGTTCTCTTCGGCCAAATTGACTTGTTTGGTTTGGCCAGCTGTCCATAATGGCTACAAATGGAGTATAGGAGGGAGGCAGCCACTAGAAGGAAAATCTCGAGGGGGAAAAAGACACCACTCCAGGCGGGGCAAAGAGGGGGCTTTTTAAAGGAAGCCCTGGGTAGGATAGCTCCAGTCTGATTGCTCTTCCTTCCCTGGAAAATGGGAGTCCTCCTTAAAATACCAAGCTGTGTGCTGCTGGAAGAGAGATCACACCCGCCTGCAGCGCCTGTCTCCTCTGGAGTAGAAATGGGGGTCTACTGGTATTGGGCCAGCAGAAACAGATTGTGGTTCAGCCGAAATGCACAAGCCTAATATTCAGTGAAAAACTGTAGCAAAATATGCTTTTGAAAAAAATCATGTCAGAAGTGGTTTGGGAAACTGCAAGTCACTTCTGGTGTGAGAGAATTTACTGTCTGCAGAGATGTTGCCCAGAGGACACCCAGATGTGTTATCATCCTGTTGGAGGCTTTTCTCATGTGACTGCATGGGAAGCTGGGCTGACAGACGGAGTTCAGAAGTGGCTTGGGAAACTGCAAGTCACTTCTGGTGTGAGAGAATTGACTGTCTGCAGAGACGTTGCCCAGGGGATACCCGGTTGTGTTACCATCCTGTGGGAGGCTTTTCTCGTGTGACTGCATGGGAAGTTGAACTGACAGACAGGAGCTCACCCCATCTCATGGATTTGAACCGCCTACCTTCAGGTCAGCAGTTCAGCCGGCACAAGGGTTTAACCCATCTTGCCACCGCTGCTCCTAGCAAAATATGTTATGGCAGGACATCCCACAAAAACAAAGTTATTGCATTTTAACACACTTTCCCCATGTTTTTTTTTTTGATAGAATTGATTAGGAATTGACATTTATAACCCAGGAACAAAAAAATGTGTTACATAGTGTGATAGTGTTACATAGTGTTACACTGTGGTTAAATGAGAAGACCAAGGATCCCATATTAGGGAATCCTAGGTGCCTCCTGTTCCTCTTGAGGAATGAAATGACAAACTGGTTTGAATGGGAGTGCTGCAGTTATCGAATCTCCTGCCATTCTCCAACCTGGGAACCTTCTTTGTTGTTGATTCTGTAAACCTTGAGATGAAGTTTGTGAAATGATTGTCAACCAGCCTGCAAGTAACTGCACATCTTGAGAGCAAGATATTATGTGATGGAGTTCCCCCTGTTTTACCTTCTTCTCATTATGAATGCCCAACTGATGTTGTTCTTTCTCTTTGTGTTTTGTCTCCTTCTCCCTGTCTCCTTCTCCAGTACACCTCCAGCATGAGAGCCAAATACCTCGCCACCAACCAGCCTCGGCCGGACACTGGCAGTGTGCATTAAAGACTCTGAACGTGTTTTAAGTCAATCAAAACAAAAACAAAACAAACGGAAGAAAACGTGCCAACTGCTGCCACCCGCCCTCCGCTGCCCTCGCAGACCAGCCCTGCTTCCCCTGCCTCCCTCGCCCTGGATCCGACTCAATCGCTTTTCCTTCTTCTCCTGCCTTGGCCTGGGACATGTCTCTTTGGGACCATCTTTGATGGAAGAGTATTCCAGATCCAGTCAATGCTTACTTGCACCTGTTTGTGTGTGTGGGGAGAGAGAGAGAGAGAAATGAATGCACATGCATGCACACACACGCAGGAGATCGACCCATCCGCCTGCTTTGCTCTGTGGTGTTTTGAAATCCATGCTTGAGGACAACTTTTCAGGAAATTGCAAGCTGTTTCTCATCTCCTCCCGTTGGGGGGGTCTCTTTCCAATCCGAAAATGACCTGTCTCAATTGTGCGAAAGTGTTTGTGGATGTGACAACATGACCTAAGGAAGCCTCCTTCAATGCGCACACTGTCATAAAGTTCCAATGCGCCCAACCCTTTTTGCAGCTGCTCTTGAGAAGCCCGTTTCCCAGCATCAAGCGAAATCTAGGAAGCCATTTGATCCTTCCATTTGAGGATGAGAAGGTCTGCTGATCCAATCATCCTCCTTTGTGTGTATTGGATGCCGCCCCCCCCCCCCGCCCCCCGGATACAACTTTATGTCTCTCTTTTTGTACCTGGGACGAATGAGTGGGCTTCCTGTACCAGATACTCTATAAATGTGTGTGTGTACAAGCCGACAACACACACATCCACCGGTTGCACTATACCTGCCCTTTGGACTATACCTTCTAAGCTATCAGCAAGACATCCTGGAAACTGGATTCAGCAATTTCTTCTGGTGCCAAAATATTTTAGAGTTGCAAAGAAAAAGAAAGAGAAAAGCTTTGTAGGGTGTAGAGGAAGCGTCCAGCCTCAGCTGTTATCTGCCCTTGCTTGAATTCAACCCACATCAAGACCAAACAAGGTTGCCATCAGAAATGGGACTTTCTGCATATGTGCTGTCGAAGGCTTTCATGGCCGGAATCGCTGAGTTGCTGTGAGTTTTCCGGGCTGTATGGCCATGTTCCAGAAGCATTCTCTAGCATATGGTTTTACTTCCTGTAGACTTCCTGCCATTGCTTCTTCCAATTTCGCAAGGACATATGGCTAGTACAATGTTGGAAATGTTAACTTTAGGCATAATTTGGAACTCCTTAGGGAATCTTTATGATTTCTCTTGATCCTGTCTCCCAGGACCAGAAAGCAGAACAAAGATATAATACTGTGATGCCAACAGGGAATGCTCCCTTCCTTGGGCTCATCATTCCGTCAGGCTAAATTCCCGACCTTTGTTGCACAAACCACATGCAACCCAATCCCAGTTGCCTCTTAATGAGCTGTCTATGGACAGCAAAGACCAATGGCAACAAAGTGGAGATGAGGATCAATGTGTGCCTGCACCAGCCCCCCAACTGCCTTGAAGGTGCTTTATTTAGTTGGAGTCATTGTGATGTAGGTGGGAAGGAAGGACCACAACACCACACAAGGGAACATTTCACTTCCATTGTTTTGGGTTCCCTGTGCAACCTGATTCTGCAGTAAGTGGCTAGAAAAACGCAGACTAAAAGCTTTCCAATGTCAGCTAAGGTAGTACATCTCCTATCTGGTGTCCAATATCTGTCTTTATTGACAGAACTAGGCAGATCTTGTTTCACAGTTTCACCTCCGACGGTGCAGCCAGCATTTTCCTCTTTGCTCCAGATGGTATTGCAGAACTCCTCCAAACTCACAAACCTTTAGCTTTTTCGCTGCTGAGGTTCTTTTCCAACACACATTGTGCACATTCAAGGGGAAGATTTACCACTTCCGATAAATTTGCTTCCTCTGGTTTGGTGCAGACAGAGTTGACTTCACAGGCTACAGTTTATGGAGAGAATAGTAGAAATGTAAACAGCCATGAGATTTTTGGGAAAGTAGAATGCAACTTACGTTGATGCTGTTGCAATACTCTCAAAAGGGTGGTTGCTCAGGTTCCCATACGTATAGACAACATAGTAGTCTCTTTAAATGTGTCCTTCCATCTAGATCAGTGGTTCCTAACCTTTGGACCTTCAGTTGTTTTGGACTTCAGCTCCCACAGTTCCTAACATCTGGTAAGCTGGCTGGGATTTCTGGGCATTGAAGTTCAAAGGAGACCCAAAAGTTGGGAACCGCTGATCTAAACCGAGGTAATATTGGCTGGGATTTCTGGGAGTTGGAAGTCCAAAGAAGGCCCAAAAGTTGGGAACCACTGATCTAAACTGAGGTCATATTGGTACCTGCTACTATTAAGAGAAAGGACAGAAAAAGTGAAGTTGGATAAGGCAGAAAGGTGTGCGCACAACCAATTGAGGGAGAGCTCCTTTCCATCCCGCTCCCCAAATGGCCCAATGCCCCCTTTTTTAGGGCTGCGTCCCCCATTTCCAAGCAACGAAACCAGGATTCTCCTTTAGTTCACAATCCCCAGGAGCTATAGTTAGTCTCGAGTATGAATAGTGATCCATATGCTAACCTTGCCTTGAAAACTTTCATTTATTTGCTCACTGTTTGAGCACTGTTTAAGTCACTGTTTGAGGTATGTGCTTAAAAAGTTAAGATTAGCTAGACACTTCAGCCACTCGAAACATGTCGAAAGACCAGAAAGTTATCCTTGGGAATCAGACTTGAAGATCTTGGAAGGATAAGTGTTTGTTTTTAAAGGCAAGGGAGCAAGGTCTTTCCTCTTACTAGTGTAACAGAGAGGAGTAATGCATCGTGTGTGCCACTCAGTGCTGATTTTAAGAGAGAGGACAAAAATCCTTACATTACGAAAACCACTATAGAAATTACCTTCCTTCCAGAAGCAGTTACCACTTAACACTGTGAAGAGGGAACTCCAACTGAGTCCTGTTGGTGGATCATGAACTGGAATCGCTATTCGGTGTCTTTAAATGGATTTCAAGGAGGGGACCAGGTGGAAAAATCAAGATCTTTGTATACTCTATTGTAGATTGTGTCTGGGGACTTTAGATTTGAAATGACTGAAGAGCGATAGAGCCACGGTTCCCAACCATCTCGTTGCAAATAATGCAGGACCTCTGTATATTTTGATCAATGCAGGCTTGATTTTTAATTAAATCATTTTTAAAAATTCCTTGAGTGACACCAAAAGCACAATGAATCTGCATTGGACACAACAACATGTGTGGTCCCTCGTCATGGTTTGAGGAGAAGAGCAAACAGCTACGGCAACTTGGTGCACCTCTTGGCCGAGTCCAAAGTATCTCTGGTTGCATCATGTTTGTGGAAGGGGGGTCACGCACATCTTTTGACATGGAAGAAGAGTCTCACGCATCCTTTGAACCCAGGACCAGCTTGAAACCGTTGATTGGCAGGGCTTTGTCTTTCCACCAGCTCTGGTGCCAATCAGAGCTCTTAAAAGTATTGTTGGTGTCGCCAATGAAACCGGCAAAAGACTCCCATTATTTTCTCCTTTCGGATTTGTATAAGTTTTTCATGTGATGAGAATCCTAATGCCATATCGCTTGGAATGTGTCCCAACTAACTTCCTCAGCTACTCTCAGATCATTTCAAAACCTTCGCCATGATTTCAACATGCTACGAAGTTCCTTTGCAAAAAGAAACCTGGAGAAATGAGCGACTGATGTTGAGTATCGTCTGGATCCGAATCCGGATGCGACGACAATATGTTGGAACGGGAAACCGGAGTGTTACGTAAATACTCTTTCCTTTGAGCACATATGTGGCCATTTGCTTGTCTGGTTGATTTAGTTGATTTATTTGTTCCCCTCCCCGTAACATCATCACAGCACTTTTTAAAAAAAATCAAAGGAAAAAAAGCAAATGTGAACCAAGAACCTTCCTTGTCAAGCACACAAACATCTCCACAATGTGAAATGTATATAGCATGTTGGATTCTTGGGAGTCCAGTGTTCAAGACTACATTGTAATTGTTTCAAGAAGAAGAAGAAAAAAAGAAAAGAAAATTGAATCAAAAGACTTGGCTGTGAATTTATTTTTATGTGTGTGCCGTCTTGGAAATAAGTGTAGTGTTTGTATCCTGTGTGTAATAATTAGCTGACTCCACATTGAGTTCAATTCTGCTTCTTCTTGGCTTTTTTTATGTAAAGGGTTCAGGGTAAGAACTTGTCATTCATTCATGTATCAAAACCTGAGAACCTAGCCAGGCATGGGCAAACTTCGGCCCTCTATCCAGGTGTTTTGGACTTCAACTCCCACCATTCCTAACAGCCTCAGGCCCTTTCCTTTCCCCCGCTCAGCTTAAGCGGCTGAGGGGGGAAAGGAAGGGGCCTGAGGCTGTTAGGAATGGTGAGAGTGTCATGAATACTTTTTAAACAAAGGTTCTTTTATTGCAATTTGTAGTGTGAGAGGTAGGTAAATATTTTCCCCTGACATTAAGTCCAGTCGTGTCCGACTCTAGGGGTTGGTGCTCATCTCCATTTCTAAGGCGAAGAGCTGGCGTTGTCCATAGACACTTCCAAGGTCATGTGGCCAGCATGACTGCATGGAATGCCGTTACCTTCCCACTGGAGAAGTACCTATTGATCTACTCACATTTGCATGTTTTCGAACTGCTAGGTTGGCTGAAGCTGGGGCTAATAGCGGAAGCTCACACTGCTCCCTCAATTTGAACCTGTGACCTTTTGGTAATCAAGTTCAGCAGTGGTTTAATCCATTGCACCACTGGGGCTCCTTAGTGTGAGAGGGTATATCAAAACGTTTACAGAAGTGCGAGAGGGTATATCAAAACCTTTACAGAGCTTTTACACAAAAGGCCGGGCTTTAGCACAGCTGGTAAATCACCAGCAATGATAAGATCCACCAACCGAAAGGTTGCCAGTTCGAAGCCCCAGGTTGGCATGAGCTGCTGACTGTCAGCCCAGCTTACTGTTGACCTAACCAGTTCAAAAGCAGTTTGAGATGTAATTAGAGAAAATCGGTACCTCTAAAACAAGTGGGGAAGGCATTTTATGACCCCATAAAGAAAAAAGATCAGAAAATGCCCGGCAATCAAAAGGAAGGAGGAAGTCCTGATGGCTCTTTGTCATCCAGCACCCCCTGTGGCTGGATTTGAGCACAACTTTCCAAGGCACCAAAAAGCTGGCTGTCAACATAACATACCTCCTTTTAGTTTTGTCTGTCTCTGCCCATGCCTGAACTAGAATCTCCTCCAGTGTCCCCTCACCCATTCCTTAAAGGAAAAGAATAATTTAGTGCCTCAGATATGGCCAGTTTAGCGACGACAGAAGACGTCCAGTTGGATAGTTCTGACCTTTAGTCATACGAAGCACAGGTGTTTTTGTACATGATGGAAATGTATGGTATGGATTTTCAACATATTGTGCCACTGGGAATGTTTGCTTAGCATTAGGAATTTCCTCACACTTAGATACTTTAGACCAGGCATCCTCAAACTACAGCTCTCCAGCTGTTTGGGCCTTCAACACTCAGAATTACTGACCATTGAACAAGCTGGCTAGGGCTTCTGGTAGTTGGAGGCCAAAATAGCTGGAGGGCCACAGTTTGAAGATGCCTGCTTTAGACCCACACAGATTGGGAGCTATCTATGAAAAGGAGCAATGTTTGAGGGGATTCAATAAGCCTTATTTTGACTGCGGAGGAGATGTTAGTGGACCACAATCTGTCAGCTTGGACTCCCAAGTAATATGTTTAGTTTCCCCTTGCTGCTGAACACATTGTAGAAAACACATAGTCCTTCCGACTTCTTGCTCCTCTGCTTATGAACATCTGTACATTGAGGCAAATGTGTAGAACGAATCCTGAGTTTTGGGATGATCAGCGTCGGAGTGGGTTGACTAGTTCCAGAGAGGATTCCGCAGTTGTAAACTACTATTTTTTTTATGTCAGGAGCAGCTTATGAAACTGCAAGTCGCTTCTGGTGCGAAGGAATTGGCCGTCTGCAAGGACGTTGCCCAGGG